AACCTTTGTGTAGAGCAGACCCTCTCCTCCACACACACACACACACACACACACACACACACACACACACACACACACTCACAGACTCACACACACACAGCACACACATACACACACACAGACACACACACACAGCACAGAGAGACACACACAGAGACACACACAGACTCACAGACACACACAGACACACACACTCACACACACACACACACACACACACACTCACACACACAGACACACACAGACACACACAGACACACACAGACACACACACACACACACACAGACACACAAACACACACACAAGACTGAAGAAATGATGCTGAAAATTCAGCTTTGATCACAGAAATAAATTACATATTAACAGATATTCACATAGAAAACAGTTTTTTTAATTATAATATTTAAAAAAAAATTCATCTTTTACTGTATTTTTGATCAAATAAATGCAGCCTTGACGAGCAGAACAAACTTCTTTCAAAAACATCTTACTGACACTAAACTTCTGAACAGTAGTTTAAAATAAAACATTATTGTAATGAGAATATTATTCTGACTGCCACAGCTCAAGTTTCACAGGAAATATTGTTCTTTTTTTGGTGCAAGTTTGAAAATCTTTTCTCTGAAGTTTACCGACAACATTCAACAGACAACACAAAACTATAGACCTGTTTTTCTTTCTAGTTAATTTGCTGATTTATGATTTTTTTAAAAACAAGGAGAGTTGTCATGAAAACCACCAAACATCTGCCGTCACTGAAGACATTCAGTAACACGAAAGTCCTCAAAGGAACACAAAGCCCAGGAGAATCTTAATAAAATTACAGAGTCGTCGTCACAGCACAGAAACCAAAGCAGAACTGAAAGCTCATGTAAAAAATCCTCCAGCACTAAAATCACACGCTTCACACAAGCGTCTACTGTATCTGAGAGAAACTCTTCAGTATATGAGCTTAGAAACTACATTCAGGCATTGGCAAAGATCCCAGACTTCTCGCATATTTACAGTAACTCATATATCAGACATGCATGAATGTGCAGTGATATTTCACAGTAACAAGCACACGTATGTGTCCTACAGCAGAAACGGCCGTACCTTGAGCGCCCGATGTCGTCGTACAGGATCTGCAGGCATCTGTGTGGTTTGGTGATGTTGTTCTCATGGTCAGGGTTGAACTCAGAGCTGTTGTCCGCGGTGGGAAACACACTGGTATTGGCATAACGGAGCAAACTTCCCCCATCAGTCACCGTCTCCAGCATTCTGGATTAAACCTCTGCTTCAGTTTACACTCAGACTTACACATATAACATACAAACTACTATTTGCATGCAAAACACTGATTTCTAGGAGTTAATAATAAAAAATACAGATGATTAGATTCACAACTGTGTCATTTTGACACAATGACACAACAGTCCAACATAAGAAGGACTTGTTGCCTTGGCAACTAACTGAAATAAATAAATTTAAGTACTAAAATGACTAAAACTGAAATGTGAAACATGAACTGAAATAAACAGAAATTAAGGCTAGACTGAAATATAATTAAAAATACTAATAAAAATGACAAAGCACATAGCAATATTACTAAAGTTAAAATGAAAAAAAAAACACTAATTAAAATATTAACAAAAACTGTAACAGTATATGAATAATATTAATATAACAGCCCCAATTTGACAATTTACTGACTGGCTTAAACCAGACATCACAAACACTTTCAAATCAATTTAATAAAAAATGTTACATTTCGTAAGAGATCGGAATGTTTCGAATTCATGAAATGTAACAAAGTTTCTCCGCGGGAATGAGACACAATAGTTCAACACAAAAAGGACTTTAAAATAAAAAAATTGAAACTGAAATACATAAGTTTAAGTACAAAACTGAAATGAAGTAAAAGTGAAATAAAAAGAAATTAAAGCTAGACTGAAATTTCATTTAAAAACTAATACAAATTACAAAGCACATAGCAAGTTAAAGTGCAAACAAAAAATATTAAAATAAACACTGTAATCGTCTATACTTTGAGTCAGACATCACAAACATTTTCGAATCGATTTAATAAAAAAATGTTACATTTCGTAAGAGATCGGAATGTTTCAAGCATAAAGCGCCAGTGAAGCTGAATCTGTCTGTATGTTTACTGACATGTTTCTTTGATCATGTATCATATGACACAATTCCTCAGAACCGCAAACACAGCGCTCACCTTTAACTGCTGAGGCTCTCAGATCAGAGGCGGTGTGCTTCAGGATTAACGGGATCATAAGTTATTAGCTGAGGCATAATAACTTTCGTCGGTGTTTGTTGTTTACAGACGGAATGAACCTGATGCGTCAGTCGGCGTGAATGCGTCACCATATCAAAGATGGCGGCCACCTATGCGCCCTTTCATAATAAAAGACTCAAAGCGACCACTTAATACATGTGTGTACTTTTTATAGCTTACTCTGCACCGTATCTTTATTTCATTTGCTTTATTTTTGTTATTTTAGATTGCACTACTAATATTTAATGATGTGCACGTGTTATTTGTTAAATTACTTATATTTAAATCTTATTTATAAACATAATTCACATGTACACATCTATGCTTTAACATTACATAGTTTTGATGATAATAAGTAACACTAAAATGTATATTTATATAATAAAACGAAAACGAGACTACACTTCAAAATAAAAGACAACATTAAAATAAAACAAACCTTAGGGTTTACTATATAGATACTATATTTATACAGTAAATAATACACTATAATAAAATATCTAGAAAATGGTAGACGCTGTTTATTTAAATTTAGACAGAAACAAGTATTAACAAACATGTTATAAGAAAAGCACAGCATAGAAACAGAATTAGAATTGTTTTCGATGTAAAGTGGTCTTGTATTATTGAAGTTAGACAAATGTCACATGCTCAAAACCTAACACATGAGTTGAGGAACACTGCATATTGATTAAAAAATAATAATGCAAGTATTAACAAACATGCTATTATTATTATTGAAGTTAAACAAATGTCAAACACGAGTTGAGGAACACTGCATATTGATTAAATTAAATAATGCAAACCGAATGCATGTGACAATCTAGTGCAGCAAGATGCATTGAGTGCGTAAGTGAACATTAATGACGTATTGCATCATAACATCGTGACAACAGGATAAGTATGGATGAATATGGTCTAAGAAATTATTTTAGCAGTTGGTTGCATAAGGTGAAAGCAATGCAGAAGCAAGTGGGTTTCTCTAGTGGTCAGTCACTAGTTGACAGTGATGTGTGCTTTGGGTTGACCAGACATCATCCTTACAGCCAGATACACCGGCTGCGCGAAGCTGACTTTAAAAGTGTGCAGGTGAGTTTTATCCCCACTTAAATCGCTGACGCTGTTAAACGCTAAAGTGCCGGTGCTAAAGCTGAGGCGTATCTCCATCCTCTTCAGAGACGGCGTGCGTCTAAGCGGCGTGTCCTTTCCTTTCTCGTACGCCCTCAGAAGGTTATCGCAGTACATGAGGCACCAGGATCCAGCGCTGCTCTCCAGACCGCTTCCAGAACCAGATCTGGGCAGTTCGCCGTAACACACGGCCAGAACCCAAGCACAGCCTTCAGCCTGGAAGTCCCAGAGATGTTCTCCTCGGACGAAGCTCTGGGAGCTCAAAGCCTGGAAGAAACTGGAAAACCTCTGAGATCTGGCCGGATACGGCTGTTTGGCCGCGCTAAAAGACACCGTTTTGAGGTCTTCGGACAAGACCAGGTTGGGATGGATGGTATCAGGGTTGAAGGTCACCTTATGTCATAATTGAACATTAAAAACATTTTATCTCACAACAATGATTTACCTAAGCATAATTTTTTGGCACATCATAATTTTGAAAATGTCATAATTATGACATAAAAAGTCAAAATTGTGAGATGCTAAGTCATAATAATGAGATAAAAAGTTGCAATTTTTGAGATAAAAAGTCAATTATCACAAAATGTAACTAAGCCATAATTATGAGACAAAGTCAACAACATTATGAGATAAAAAAAGTCATAATTATGATATTATTAAATTACGTCATAATTTTGGAATTAAAATTAAAATTATGGAAAAAAAAAAGAAATTCTGAGAAAAAAATATAATTAGATAAAAAGTTGAAATAATTGTTTTATGTCACAGCTGTTTGTCGACGTTTCATGTCATAACTTTTTTTTTTAATCTCACAACGATTTACATAAGCATGATTTTTCCCCCCTGTAGCGGAATTGGGCTTCCACACAGAAACTGAGTTTATTATATTGATAATCGCCCGTCTTGTTGATATGATGCGCTCAAAACAAAAGGATATCTACGGTGGCAGAGAAGTGCAAAGCAAATCACAACTCTGAAAACAAAATAACAAATTACGAACGCAAATGCAAGTCTAAAAAACAAAATAACAATTCAAAAAGCACAACAACAATTCAGAAAACATTATAACAAGTCAGAAAACACAACGACAAATCAGACAAACCGGAAAAGGTAGGTATAGCTTGAGACGGCGCCATTGGTTTGGGATTACTCACCGCTGACTGGACGAGACATCTGTCAATCAACGTATACAGAGAAGAACCAGCCGAAGAACAGCAGAGTCGTAGTAGAAAGTTCGGAGATGGTGTTAAAGTAGCTCAGTTTAAATGTATTGTATGAACTGCCCTTACTATGGAATAAAAAATACGGAGTATCTATTTACACTTAGTTAAAAGCGGCTGTAAATCATTAGCTCCAGTGGTGCAGATGGATAAGTGTGTGACCTTGGCTTTTTGACGCGATTGACCCGGGTTCCATCCCGCCTTTTGCCGAACTTTTTTTCCCTCCAGTTTCAAATCCTGTATTAGCAATGGATTCTATTTACACTAAGTGAAAAAAGCAGTATGTTTAGCAAATGCTATTTACACTATGTTAAAATAGCAGGATTTTGTGAGTAATCCCAAACCAATGGTGCTGTCTCAAACTATACCTACCTTTTCCGGTTTGTCTGATTTGCCGTTGTGTTTTCTGACTTGTTATAATGTTTTCTGAATTGTTGTTGTGCTTTCTGAATTGTTATTTTGTTTTTTAGACTTGCATTTGCGTTTGTAATTTGTTATTTTGTTTTCAGAATTGTGATTTGCTTTGCACTTCTCTGCCACCGTACTCGTTTTAATCTGGAAATAAACATAATTTGTGATCAGAAACTGAAGCGACGGGACGCCAACTAGCGGCGCGTCAGTGCAAGCGAGGCTCGACCTTCACACCTTCCTCTAACAGCCGGCTGCCCAGTGAACCGCTAAGCCACGCCACTCTCTTTCATGCCCTAAATCTCAACCCTGCAGTTGTTTACCGCGTGCGGCAGAGCAGCTTCTAGCTCTTCATGTGCAGCCATTTTCCAGCATAAAACCGTGGGAGTCTTACCCAGAATGCACGTCGAGCTGTGTTCAGTTATGATTGCAACGCAATATGATGTTTTCATGTGAATCGAGCCGAACGCGACGCAGAAGCCGTGAGTTTGGTTCCCCATTGCGTTACCGTCGCGCCGCCTCCAGCACCCGGAGCGATTCGGTCATTTATGGGTTCAGCTCGTGCCACAATACTTCAGAACGGTCGGTTTAATGTGTGTATAATGCACTTACCTGCGCTCTTGCTCCTCGCATCGAGAGCCACAGCTAATCTGCATTTACAGCCACACACACCTTTACTGAACAAACCCTGCTGCTTCCTGATGCATCTGAAACCCACACACTGTACAGACAAGAGTGAAGATGACGATGAGGATGATTCATCTTTATTTTGGTTTTTATTTGAATCCACACAAGAAAAAAATATAATAAAACGGCTCTATTGATATGAAAAACGTCCAAAAAAAAGTTTAGGAAAATAAAATTTTATTTTTTATTATTTAATATTTTATTAATAACATATAAGCAATATATTTTCAACATATTTTTGCCAGTTATTGTCAACATAAAAAAAAGGACTTTTAATTGTTATACGAGAACTTTTAATTTTAATTGAGGTAGCTGTCATTTAATAATTATTTCTCGTTTATATATTATTTAATAAATATCATTTTATTTAACAAAGCATTTATAACATGTAATTTACATTTAGTCATAGACACTTTTATCCAAAGTAACTTATAAATGAGGACAATACAAGCAGTCAAAACTAACAAAAGAGCAATAATATATATATATAATGAGTAAAAAGAAAAACAAGTCAAAAGAATAGAGGATGCTAGTGTTAGAGGGTTATTTTTTTTATAATAAATAAAAAAAAAATATTAATATTACTAAAATATCTCTTTATTTTGGTCAAAAAGAGTCAGACGTGTACCTAACTAAAAATAACACTAACATGAGTATATAATATTCAATATTTCAGTCATATTATTTGAACAGCGTTGTTGGTTGATATGTCCTTCTTTATGCCAGAACTGCCTGTACTGTACAGATATTAGCATAAAACTAACCAGGATGCTTTTATCAGAGCTCAACGTTTGGATGCATCCTTAAATAAAGTATGCAAGATGCAAGGATTTAATGAAGGAGCAGGTGATGCTTGCTTTGGGAAACACCACTAACTATATGAAAGTCCGGTCGAGTGAACTTTAAAGTGTTTTTTTTTATTGTTTCAATGTTCTTTTAAATACAACAAATGGAAGACAAATACATACAGATTGTCTTTGTTTTAGCTCAATTTGAATGCTCAAAATAAATAAAAATACAGTTCAGCTGATGAAATAAACTCACACTCTTACAGTAACCACTCAAAGTAATAGTAAAAATTATTTAAAAGGAACACATAATAATAATAACGGTCAAAGGCCATTATTTGGCAGAGAAGTTGAAATGAACATACATTCATGAGAACCCCAGATCAGTGCATGGGCTTATATGAAGGCACACGCGGCGTTCGCACAGTTTAATGCGTTTGTTTCTATCTGTGGGGTCAAAAGAGCTTCTCTGGGCAATTCTGATGAAGAAAGAGATGCTCAGTGTAGTGTTATACTATTAGCATTGTGTTTGCATAGATTCACAGGGTTGTGTGTGTGTGTGTGTCTCCTGGTTTAATGCTACAGCAGGTTTGGCTGTAAATGCACAGACACATTCGGCTCATATAAACATTAGAGGACAATGAGAAGAAATGCTGAGAAAGAGGTATAGCTGAACTCCAGATAGAGTTTGTGTCTAGATCAGGTCAGCGAGGTCCAGCGGAGGCAGCGGCTCTCTCCAGAAGGAGAAATGACTGAACTCGGGACAGTCGAAGGACGTGGTTGGATCTTTACAGATGAAGGGGAAGAAGTGATCCACCAGCTCGCTGAGATGAGAGTATCTGAAACATACACACACACACACACACACACACACACACACGTACGCACGCGCACATATGACCCTTTTAATGATTTAATCCCTGCCACGGTTTTTGTTGATTTGTATTGATGCTTTATAATACATATGGTGTGTGAAATGTTTTCATTATTTGAACACTTGATGTGGCAGAAGCGTGTGACACTTACGAGAGCTGACCGCGTCCACATACTGCGGCAGATACGGCGCCCACATGTCAATAGTGTCCTTCCGGCCCGACTGACCGATCCGCCGCAGTTCAGCCAACAGCAGCGCCAGACAGACAGACACACACACACACACACACACACACACACACGCGCAAGTCAAACAAAATGACTGCTTTGTTTTTTATTGGACACACACACACACACACAGACAGACACACACACACACACACACACACACAGACAGACACACACACACACACACACACACACAGACAGACACACACACACACACACATACACAGACAGACACATACATACACACACACACACAGACACACACACACACACACACACACATACACAGACAGACACATACATACACAGACAGACACACAGACAGACACACACATACACAGACAGACACACAGACAGACACACACACACACACGCGCAAGTCAAACAAAATGACTGCTTTGTTTTTTATTGTGAATATTATTAATGAACACAGAAGTGAGTAAATGATGACAATCATTCTGGGTGAAATACTCCTTTAAGATACCATTCGGTTGTGTATATGCTGGTAAAAGGTTTGGAATAATTACGATTTTTAAATGCTTTTGAAAGACGCCTCTTCTGCTCCCCAAAGCTGCATTTATTTGACCAAAAATACAGTAAAAGCAGTGATATTGTGAAACATTTTCTATTTGAATATATTTTAAAATGTAATTTATTCCTGTGATCAAAGCTGAATTTTCAGCAGCTATTACTCCAGAAACATTTCTTATTATTATCAATGTTAACAAAAAAAGTATTTGCTGCTTACTGTTTTTGTGGAAAATATGATACACTATATTTTAAAAGTATGGGGTCAGTAAAAATAAAAAATAAATTCCATCAAGGATGCATTAAATTGATCAAAAGTGACATTAAAGACATCTATAATATTTATTAATCAAATAACGTTCTATTCATCAAAGAATCCTGAAAATAAAATGCATCACGGTTTCCACAAAAATATTCAGCAGCACGACTGTGTTCAACATTGATTCAAAGCTGAATTTTCAGCAGCTATTACTCCAGAAACATTTCTTATTATTATCAATGTTAACAAAAAAAGTATTTGCTGCTTACTGTTTTTGTTGAAAATATGATACACTATATTTTAAAAGTATGGGGTCAGTAAAAATAAAAAATAAATTCCATCAAGGATGCATTAAATTGATCAAAAGTGACATTAAAGACATCTATAATATTTATTAATCAAATAACTTTCTATTCATCAAAGAATCCTGAAAATAAAATGCATCACGGTTTCCACAAAAATATTCAGCAGCACGACTGTTTCAACATTGATAATAATCAGAAATGTTTCTTAGAAGCAAATCAGCATATTATACTGATTTCTGAAGATCATGTGACACTGAAGACTGGAGTAATGATGCTGAAAATACAGCTGCGCATCACAGAAATACATTACAGTTTAACAGATACTCACATAGAAAACAGCTATTTTAAATACTTTCACAATATTACTGTTTTTACTGTATTTTTGATCAAATAAATGCAGATTTGCAGCAGAAGAGACTTCTTTCAGAAACATAAAAAAATCTTAATTATTCCAAACATGTAGTGTACATGTGTGTGTGTGTGTGTTTCTGTGTGAGTGTGTTTCTGTGTGTGTGTGTTTCTGTGTGTGTTTGTCTGTGTGTGTTGTGTGTGTCTGTCTGTCTGTGTGTGTGTGTGTGTGTGTGTGAGTGTTTCTGTGTGTGCGAGTGCGTGTCTGTGTGTGTGTTTCTGTGTGTGTGTTTCTGTGTGCGTGTGTGTGTCTGTCTCTGTGTGTGTGTGTGTGTGTGTCTGTCTGTCTGTGTGTGTGTGTGTGTGTGAGTGTTTCTGTGTGTGCGAGTGCGTGTCTGTTTCTGTGTGTGTGTTTCTGTGTGCGTGTGTGTGTCTGTCTCTGTGTGTGTGTGTGTGTGTTTGTCTGTGTGTGTGTGTGTGTGAGTGTGTTTGTCTGTCTGTGTCTATGTGTGTGTGTTTCTGTGTGTGCGAGTGCGTGTCTGTGTGAGTGCGTGTCTGAGTGTGTCTGTGTGTTTGTCTGTGTGTGTGTGAGATGTGACTTACGAGGACTTGTTTCCTTTGGTCTTTTCTTGAATGAGTTCTCCTTTGGGGTTCACAGTGAATATGTGAGTCTCAGGTACACCCACCTCCTTATACGCATATGCATCCTACACACAGGCGCAAAATACAGTCAGGCCTTCCCATCATTTCTGGGAGATGCACATGTTTGTAACACTGAAGGAAAGCTCACATTAGTTCTGTTGCCGAAGGCGGCGTAGAAGGGCTGTGTGACAGGACTGAACAGATCTCTGATATCAGTGAGACAGGCGATCTTAAACACCTCCGGCTTCTTCTCAATCACCTCCCTGAGAACGAACACACACACACACACACACACACAGACTTACATTAACAGAAGTGGTAGAGATGGCTGTGATCTACATTAATGATCTGTATCTGCTCACCTGTGTAAGGCTGAGAACAGGCTGCTGGGAGCCAGAAGCACTGGGCCTTTTGGTAGAACCGTTCCTTGATCATTTACCCACTGCAAGTAACCCTTAGTGATGTCTGCCATGCCTATAGCTCGAGCCGAACAGTACAGGAACTTATAACCATTCCTGCAAGAGAAGAACCATATCAAAAATTATTCATAAATACACTTCTATTCAAACGTTTGGGGTTGGTAGTTTTTTTTATGTTTTTGAAAGAAGTCTCTTCTGCTCACCAAGGCATTTATTTGATCAAAAGTACAGTAAAAATTGTGAAATATTATTACAATTTAAAATAACAGTTTTCTATGTAATTATAGGTATTAAACTGTACTGTATTTCTGTGATGCGCAGCTGTATTTTCAGCATCATTCCTCCAGTCTTCAGTGTCACATGATCTTCAGAAATCAGTATAATAAACATTTCTGATTATTATCAATGTTGAAAGTATTTTTCAGAATTCTTTGAAGAATAGAAAGTTCAAAAGAACAGTATTTATTAGAAATAGAAATCTTTTGTAACATTATAAATGTCTTTATTGTCACTTTTGATCAATTTAATGCATCCTTGCTGAAAAAAAAAGTATTAA